TCTGTTAAGACAGTTTTTTCCACCCCATCAGGATGGGTGTGGTCTCTGCTCGCAGAGTTCACGTCTCACAGTGACCATCAAAGATTTCCACCACTGCCTTCTCACCCGTCAGTGCTCCTCTCAGACATCGCCTCCTCTGAGAAGCCGCCCCTGCCTGCCCTCTCTAACGTGCCATGGTGAGTTAGGCTGCCGCCTGCAGCACCAGCATCCCATATGGGCGCCGGTTCGAGTCTCAACTGCTCCATTTCTGATCCAGGTCTCTGCGTGGGAAAAGGGGTGCAGGATGGCCAAAGCGTTTGGGTCCTTCCCACCCATGCAGGAGACCTGAAGGAGCTCCTGGCTCAGCCCTGGCCTTTGCATCCATGAGGGGAATGAACCAGCACACAGATCTCTCTGTTTATCCTCTCTGTGAAACTCTTTCAAAAAAAAAAAAAAGCCACTGCCAAAGCCACAATGGTGTTACTTCCAAATTATAAAGTGAACTGCTTTCTCCAAATATGTTACCCCAATTTTCAAAAGTAATACTCACAGAATGTTATTAATTAGAAGATAGCTTAACATTTAGTCAAATGAGCAACTGAAGATATCTATCCCTAGGATATATGTAACAGCAACCAGGGAATATTGGGTGTCACAAAACACCAGCCTCAATACCTAGCAGGGTCAAGTTTATATATGTAATATATATAATAATATATTACGTATGTTATATATATTACTTGCTGGGTGCTGCAGATACTTGAGCTCCGTCTGTTACGGAGACAGTGTGATCACACACAGAAATCTCACCGACATAATGCAGATGTAATGATGGCTACTATTTATAAGCACTCACTACATGACAGGCACTGTGGTTATTAGAGCGTTTACATGCATTATTTCACTGACTCCTCAAAACACCATTAGGTACTTGTAATAACATAGCTGTTTTTGTAATTCAAAAGGTAAGAACAAAAATGTTAATTTCCCATGTTCAAGCAACTAAGTCATGTTTGATATGCTAGTAGCAGCACTGGTATTTGATCTGGCTGCAAAGTCTATGATCTTGACTACTGCCTTAGAAATCGGAAATTGAGGAGCTGGCACTGTGGCTTAGTGGATCAAGTCACTGCTTTGATGCTGGCATCCCACATGGGCAAGAGTTTGTGCCCCAGCTGCTCCATTTCCAATTCAGCTCCCTGCTAATGTGCCCAGGGGAAAGCAGAAGATGGGCCCCATGCTTGGGTCCCTGGGAAACTGGACGAAGCACTTGCTTGGGGATCTGGCCTGGCTCAGTCCTGACTAATGCATACTTGGGGATGAACCAACAGGTGGGGAGATCCCTCTCTTCCTATAACTGTGCCTTTCAAGAAAAACACACATACACACACAATTTAAATCTGAAATGGAGTTGAAGGAAATCTCCTCAGTCTTGAACTGGAAGAGAACTTGAGTCAGGGATCTTCCCGTCCCTCAGGTGTTCCCAAGTGTGTAATGAGAACAACGCCTAACTCTTCCCCCCTCTCGATACAGCCCAGCAATACAATCCTATTTTAGATCTGAAAAGACCTTGTTCCCCACAAAAATGTGTATACACATCAATGTTCATGGCAGCCTTATTCACATTATCCCCCAGATGGAAACAACTCAAATATCTGTCACCTGACAAATGGACAAAAGATTTATGCTCATACACATGGAACATTCTTCAGTCATGAACTGGAATGCAGTGCTGACATGGCACAGTCTGGAAAAGTCCTGACAACATTAGGTGATAGAACTGGGCACAGTGGTCTACCTATGGTTGATTTCACTCGCATGCAGTGTTTAGAGTACACAAAATCACAGAAACAGATGAATGGCTTCCAGTGTTTAGGTATGAGTGGTGACTGTTAGTGGGTGCCAATCTTCTTTTGTGGCATCTACAAAATGTTCTATCATAAGGCAGTGCCCATGGCTCACAATTTTATCTTAAAAACCGACATGGAACACTTTAAAAGGTATACTGGGTCAGACGTTTGGTTTAGCAGTGGCCACATGCACCCTGTATTCCCAGCTCCTGATGCCAGCTTCTCGCCTGCGCGACCTTGGGAGGCGGCCCGTGATGCTTCAAGGCGGCTGGGTTCCACTCACTCACGGGAAGACCTGGATTCAGTTTCTGGATCCTGGGCGCAGTCTAGCCCAGCTCTGGCTGTTGCAGACATTGGGGAACTGACCCAGAAAGTGGGGGAGCTCTCTAAAATTTGAAGGGATGTTTTTAAAAAGGTAAACACTATCGTATGTGAATTTTAACTGCTATATACATGTGAAAACACTCCAGATGATATCACAAAAATACTGTACTATGGTATTTTAGATATTAGACATTTCTCAACTATAAAATTAATTACAGCCCTCTGTATCTGCAGTCTCCATATCTATGGATTCAGCCATCCAATATTCAGGAAAAAAAAAAATCACTGCTCCTGCACTGAACACAGATTTTTTCCACTTGTCATTATTCCCTAAATAATACATGATTAACAACTATTTACACAATATTTAATTGTATGGAGTATTATAATTAATCTAGAGATGATTTAAACATATGAGAGAATATGTACAGGCTATACAAAAACACTACACCAAGGGACAGCAAGCATCCACGGAGGTCTGGAACCACTCCCACCACAGCCCTGCACACAGGAAGAGGACTCTGCACATTTCAAGCAAACCTTAGCCGTCTGCTATCTCTGCTGGTTGCCATCTTGTCCTAAGAGAATCCTAATTCACTTCAAAGTACTGAACTCCTCTTGCTTTGGAATACTCAGTTAATAAAATGCAATTTAAACTTGCTGCTGGTAGCAACCCCAGGGACTTGTCCTGCTTAAAAGGAAAAGGGGGGAGGGGATGGTATCCAATATGATAGCCTAGTGGCTAAATCCTTGCCTTGCATGTACCAGGATCCCATATGGGTGCTAGTTTGTGTCCCGGCTGCTCCACTTCGCATCCAGCTCCCTGCCTGTGGCCTGGGAAAGCAGAAAAGGACAGCCCAAAGCCTTGGGACCCTGCACCCGTGTGGGAAACCCAGAAGAAGCTCTTGGCTTCAGACTGGCTCAGCTCTGGCCATTGTGGCCATTTGGGGAGAGAACGACTTTCCAATAAAAAAAATAAATGTTTAAAAACAAGGGGGGGGGTTGGGAAGGAAGCCACAAAACAGCAAGGGCCTTTATTCAAGGCCACAGAGAGTAACAAGAATCTGGGTCTAGTGGAAATGTTATCTTCCTACACTGCTTTGGGAACAGCTTATCAGGATTTTCTACAGATTCAAGAAACGAACAACTATAAAAACACTGCTTTAGTAAAATAACCATCAACACCAAAACAATCCTTTTTTCATATATCATTTAATATAAATGTTAATTTCATTGCTGTACGTGGCATAATTTTTTACCTCCATTTTTAAACAAGCTGTCACCAACAAGATCACCCGGTTACTCACAAGTACAATCAAGCTCAGGCTGTATCGTCTTTCATATTGTCCTTTTGCTTTTTGCAGTCAGCCCTCTCAGCTTTTACTAGACCAGAAAGTAGGGTCAAGACTGCTTTTGCTCACTTTATAGTGGAACTTGAACTTAACCCTCAAGAAATCTTAGCTTCCCCTTTAACTGTTCTGGTTTGCTTCATTTGTTCCCTAAGTGTCCATCAGGAACAATGGCTCAGAATATGCATTAATGTCTTTGAACAAATAAACCAACCCCAGGCCTTTCTGGTTCATATTTCACAAGTAATAAGACTTAAAAAAAAAAACCTTAAATTTTTTACAAGGATCAAGATTCATATCCCAGATGCTGAAAAGGGTTTTAGAACGAAATCAGAAATGCTGTTAATGAGTCAGTCCCATGAAATGACTTCTTCAACTGGCCAACTCTGCCTGCCAGCTGATCCAATGTGGTCAGGCTCTCTAGACAGGAACCCCAGGTAAACCAGCAGTTCTGTCTTCCGAGTCCTGACTTTCCACAAATAGGTTCATACTTCCCCGCCACCATCTGTTTTCCAACTATAGACATCATTTCTGTCTTTCTTCCTCCCTCTCCATCTTCTCCCTCCCACACTGGTAGCGTTTACTTCACACTTCCTTGTGAGGCATGAAGGTTTTCCATGGTCTCAGAACACCAATGGGAAGCACACAAACTAGGGAAATAACTTTGTATCCTGACTCTTACCAAATCAGAGGAAGATCCAGGACTCTGGTACACATGGCGCAAGCTGGGCCTTCCCAAAGACAGAGACCATACACTGACCACCCTGACCAGGCCATGCTCACAACAGAACATTAGAGCTTATGGATGAGCTGTTCTTTTTTTCCCGGTAAATGTAAGGACTGAGGCACAAAAGTAAACAAAGGTCTTAACTGTCAAATGGAGGTGGATTTACAAATCAACGTAGCAAAAGCATTCCTGTATTAGTTAAAAAGGTATATTCTGTATTTCAACTAGGTCTCTACTTATTCAACCGAAATCTTCTCTTTGCAATTTTACAGTCTTGACCTTAGTTAATACTTTAAGGACACCATGCTATTCAAGTAGTTTTCACTTAATATGAAACTAAAACACAATTCAGACATACATTCACAAATGCAACATTAATGAAAACTGCTTGCTCTAGCAATGTTCCCTAAGTTTTTGTTTAAAGACAGCACCATTAATATATGAACTAATGAATTAATATCATTCACTAACGACTTTAAGAAATCGAACTTTCAGAGCCACAGAACAATAAGGAACTTCAGAAACCATTAAGCACAGCTTCTTCATTTTGAAAATGAGCAAACACCCAAGTCAAGTGACTGTCACAGACTGACAGGTCTTGGTTCTTGACTCCCAGTTGGGTATGGCAGAAGCTCCGGCAGCTGGAACACTTACCTTGCTGGTATCAAAAACGAAAGGCATCAAACGCTAGCACTGCTCTTACAATACACCCCTGCAGGACCCACATCACAGAGAAGCCACTTCACCATCGATCCCGAATCCGCCACTCACCCTGCTGAGCTGATCCAACAGTCTTTGGTTCTGTTCCGACAGTTCCTGGACGGCCCGGGTTTTCTCTCGATCTGCTTCCCGCAGATGAACCTGCTGCCTCTCCAACTCATCCTGCAGCTGTTTCACGTCACTCTCCAGTTCAGACACTCGCCCTTCCCATTCTCCTTCCCGGTTCTCAAATCGTCTTCTCAGTTCATGCTTCTCTTGTTCTAAGTGCTGGGTTAAAAAAAAAAAGAAAAAAGTGAATAAGATTAAAAACTGTATCCCACAGCCTTTTTATATTCTTTTTGCACTCCTCTTCTACCCAGTCAGCACACAACAAAACACTGCCAAATAGGACAAGCTTCCCAATTCACAGTTACAAAAATATCTCCTTGATGCGGAGCAGGGAAGGAGCTGGTTTCACAAAGGAACATCTCTCCCACTGAAAACACTCAATGTTACCCTGTTTATTCTTACAGGAGGCATGAGACTCCACATTTTGGAATTCACTTGAAACTTAGCAAGTTACTTAATCAACTGGTCACCTCTAGCAAGCAACTAGAAGTGCATCTCATAACCCAAATTACTCAGGTACTTTTTTGAAGAGACCCCTTTTTTGAATCAATTATTACCCATAGCAGGCTCACAGGCTCTTGAAATCACAGAATTTTCAGAGATGAAAAGAAACCCAGAGATCTTTTTTTTTAAACAACTGAAAATCAATTTGTCTAGATGAAAGGCAGAGTTAGAAGGAGACACAGAGAGCTTCCACGCACCGGCTTTCTCCCCAGATGGGGGAACCGATATCAGGAACACCATTTTTTTGGGGTCTCCTTGTGAGTGCCAAGTGCAGGGCGTTGGGTCACAATGGAGCAGTTTGGAATCCAACCAGCAGTGCCAGTCTGCCCTCCCCTCCCAGAGACCCTCTGGATTATCTTAAAAACGAGGCAAAGCAAGACAAGCAGTTAGAGGTGAGTAGTGCAAGGCCAGAACTAGTAAATGGAACAGCTGGTATTCACGTCTGAGTCAAGCGACTAACGCCTGCAGTGACAGCTCGGCACGTATCTGTTGCTGTCTTCCATACGGCACTTCATTTCCCAAACAGCATGGCAAGCTCAGGTTCCAGCCTACTTTAATCATGGTCTACTAACAAGATGTATGTATTTATTTCTGATCTAGTTTTTTGGTTTGTTTATTTTTTTGATAGAGAGGGAGAGATCTTCATCTGCCAGTTCACTCCCCAGGTGGCCACCTTAGCAAGGGCCGGGCCTGGAGCTTCTTCCAGGTCTTGCCCCACTCTTGAATGGCACAAGCTCAAACACTTGGCCCATTTCACATTGCTTTCCAGGCCATTAGCAGGAACCTGAATCAGAAATGGAATATCAAGGACATGAACTACTACCTGTATGGGATATTGGTATTACAGGTAGAGGGTCTCCCACACAGATGCAGGGTCCCAAGGCTTTGGGCCATCCTCTACTGCTTTCCCAGGCCACAAGCAAGGAGCTGGATGGGAAGTGGAGCAGCCAGGATTAGTGCACACGCACCCATATGGGGTCCCAGTACATGCAAGGCAAGGATTTAGCCACTAAGCTATTGCACCAGGCCCACAACCCTTTTCTTCACGGAGTTTTCATTCGACTGGCCGAGAGTGATAAAATATAAACTGTGAACAACCAATGTGGCATACAGGAAAGATGCAGATGAAGTAGCAGCTCAATCATAATCATAAAAATGCATCCTTTAGACTGAAGGAAATAAGAATATATTTTTGTTATGGTAAGACTAATCACTTTCCTGCCTGAAAAGCATATGCAGTATCTAAGTATACATCTCAAGGAGTACATGAAATGGACAACAGAGACAAGTCTTCAACTTCTGGTGCTCTCAGAAACGTCCTGCCATGACTGTTAAAACTAGACCCGCCTGGGCCCCGATTAAGACTGAGACTCACCCGAGAATGGGAGGGGGTGTTGGCACTAATCTATGCACATATACTTGCTTCTACAGGAAATTCTGATGCACTGAAGGGCGAAACCAACAACTGAGACTGTTTCCACAAACTAAAGCGAGCACAGGAATCTTCCCTTTCAGAGAACTCAGCTCTCTCGCCCTTGGAAAGCCACACTCACTGGAAGGAAGCGTCTTCTTTGCCAAGCCTCAAGGGCCATCTTTATAGTTGTGCAGGAAAAATGTGTCCCATTATGTCACTTCTGAAATACATCTAGTAAATAGATTATCCCCGTTTATCCTACCATCCTGCTACTGTTGCTGAGTCAACTCATCGCCCAAACATGAAAATTTACCACGACTGAGCACAGTCAAAACCACGTGCCAACACAGCTAAACAGTCGTCCAAAATGAAAATTCTGAACACATTAGCAAAGGCAGTTTTCACTGACTCCAAAGTAGACTGCTTTAAGGGGATAATTCATTTCGCTTTAGTCACTCTAAATATATTTAATGAAAAAAAAAATCACATTCATTTATGCTTCACATAGCCTCATTCCGGAGTCAGCGGAAGCAGCAAAATCAGGGAAGGGACCTGGATCCAACAGTGGAAGTTTCTGCTCTGTGCTTCCCTTAAATTGCTCAAACTTCCCCTCAAAAAGCTGAAAACGTTTTTGGTCACTTAAAAACTTCACAGACATGGAATACAGAACCAAATTCTAACTGCAATTCTAAAACTGATCTTTAGTTTTATTAAATTTTTCCAAAATAAAAAAGATTGAACAGAAGGCAACAGCATAAAACTCAGTAATCACAGTGTTACTGAGAGGCCAGATAAATTAGGCTTGTGTTCTGAAAGAACAGAGAGACTTAAAAATACTCAGCAAACAGCTGCTGCTGAACATCCCAACCAAGCAACTAAAAACAATCCAATTCGCCATGGGGGAGGGTCTGTGAACAGGTGGTACTCATGGGGGGAGAAGGAATAAAAAAAGTGACACTCTTTTTTTACCTAAGTCCAGGACATGATTTTTGAAAGAAAATGTATAATGAGAAGACAAATGAGCGCTGCTGTAAAATCAAGAGTCCTGGATGCTTCCCTCACTCACAGTGACTCCATCAGTGTGGATGCATTTTTCACCTGTTCTTTCCTGCTGTTAACAAACTGTACTAGAGCGGGCCAGCACTGTGGCAGAGTTAAGCCACAACCTGATGACACACTGGCATCCCATATGACCACTGCTTAGGGTGCTGACTGCCCTTCTAATTCAGTTCCCTGCTACCAAACCTAGGAAAGCAGTGGCCCCTTGCTATCCACATGAGACCAGGGTGGAGTTCCTGGCTCCTGGCTTTTGCCTGGTCCTGCCTCAGCTGGTGTCGCCATCTGAGAAGTGGGAAATCTCTCTCTCTCTCTCTGTTAACTTTGCCTTTCAAAGAAGTAAATCTTAAAAAAAAAATCCTAGAATCCTGAGAATTTTGGACTAGGAAGAAAGAAAGAAATAACTGAGGAAGGAGAGTTCTGCAATAATAATCCAATTTTATAAAGGAAAACTAGAGGAATGACCAATCTTTGTATGACAAATATTTGACCTGAGGGAAAAATGTATATAAATTCAAGTTACTTGGATCATATTCTAGAAAAAAAAATGAAGGACTTGGCTGTACATAAGTTTTTATCTGTAGATATAGAAATTTTTAAAAATCCCTTTAGAATGTTAAGCATATGAAAACCTGATTCATACACTTGAATTAATAAGATGGAATGTAGTCCAGAGTCGGAGAATATACAAAATCTTCAAGGTCCCCAATGAATGTGAGTGGTTGTTTTAACCCTGAAAGCTATACTGTTAAAATCTCCCAGGGAACAGTGACTGTGCCTGCATTCCACTCTGGGGTACCTGGTTCTATTCCTGGCTTGGGCTCCTAGCACCAGGTTCCTGGGAACATAGATCCCAGGGGACGGTGGTAATGACCCAAGCCACAGGTTCCTGCAACCTCCATGGGAGACCCAAACCATGTCATCAGTTCCTAGCTCCGCTCAGCTCCAGAGGTTATAGGCATCTGGGGAACATGAACTAAGGGACGGTATCTAATTTTCTGTTTAACCAGTAAATTAAGTTCTGGTTACTTTCATTCAGCTTCCTGGTAATGTGTTCTTGGAGAAAGTGGATGATGGCTGAGGTTACTGGGCCCAGGCCACCTTCATCCCCCATGGGAAACCTGCATAGAGACCCAGGCTGCTGGATTAACCCTGGTCCAGCCTTGGCTGCTGAGACCATTTGCCTGGGTAGGAATGGTGGTTGACCAGTAGATGGACAATCTCTCATTCTGCTATACTGCCCTTCAAAAGGAGATTAAACTGAGCTGAAAAAAGCAGTAGAAACATGGTTTAAAGACTATATTGGGGGGTCCACATGATTGCTCAATGGCTAATCCTCCCCCTGCAAGTGCTGACATCTCATATGGGTGCCAGTTTGTGTCCTGGCTGCTCCACTTCCCTGCCAGCTCCATGCTTATGGCCTAGGAAAGCAGCAGAGGATGGCCCAAGTCCTTGGGACCCTGTTTCTATGTGGGAGACCAGAAGATGCTCCTAGCTTTGGTTTGACTGAGCTCCAGTCATTGTGGCCATTTAGGGAGTGAACCAGCAGACAGAAGACTTTGTCTTTCTTCTCTGTAAATCTACCTTTCCAATGAAAATAAGTAAATCTTACAAAAAAAAAAAAAAGCCTACATCAGTCTTTAAAACAGAGGCTTTAAATGGGTAAATGGGTAAAATGCCTGAGTAATTAATGTGTTAAGAGAAAAAAAAGTGTTTTGGATTTGGCACAAAGAACTGGAGAAGTAGTTCATGTTAATTACTAACTAGAAAAGACTTAAATAAATGATCAATCTGTCCTTCAGTTAGAAGGATGCCAATTTCGTAGCAGGGAGCAGGGAGGATTAACACCCAAACCAGCTTCATGTAACAGTGATGCAGCCATTCCCTCGGAGCCCAATACCAGGTCTGTTCATCTCCCAAACCTACCTGGAAAACAACGTGACTGTCTCCAACATTCTGATAGTTTCTGGGAAGTCATGCTGCTTAAAGTAAGGGCCACTCCACCTGGCATGACAGCCTAATGGCTAAAGTCCTCGCCTTGAATGAACCGGGATCCCACATGGGTGCCAGTTCGTGTCCCTGCCTGTGGCCTGGGAAAGCAGTCAAGGACGGCCAAAGCCTTGGAACCCTGCATCCCCCAGGGAGACCCACAAGAAGCTCCTGGCTTAGGATCAGCTCAGCTCTTGCCATTGCAGCTACTTGGGAAGTTAACTGGTGGATGTAAGATCTTTCTCTTTCCAATATAAATAAACAAGAATTTTTTTAAAGGACTACTCCTAAATCTCTGAATGTAAGCTAATAACATAATGGAAAATACAGAGATTGTATTAGGGTTTTGAAAGTGCAACATTCAGAAATTTGGGTTGCTCAAGAAATATACTGTGAGGAAAACTCATTTGCAGATATTAACAGTGTCCTGTAAATGTGAGTTTACCTTATATATTAAAAGAACTTAGAAGTTAATGGTTGTCTAAGATACCTGTACTTTTGGTAGTACACTAAAAAGCTTTAAAACTTTCCTGATGATTTAAAAAAGTATGTGGGAGTAACAGTATAACTGAACCTCTATCACTCATTAATGATGCAGATTCGGCCTCTTAAAAACAAATGCTTTGACTTGGTCACGCCTTACTGTGAAAGCACACATCCTCACTCAGCACTCTAACCTTTTTTCAGTGAGCAGATCAGTAGGGTCCAAACTGAGCTGAGAACTTAAACTTTCCATAGTAAGAGTTCAAGTGCTCCTCCATAGAGGCATGAGCAGTTCTGGGCTTCTGGCACTATTTTGTTATTGTCCATCAGGTCAGTAACAAAATATCACAGATCATTTATTCTTTTCCCATGGAACCTTTTTTTGTTTTCACGTAATTTTGGAATCCTTTTCCTTTGTTGCCTACACGTGCGGGGGCTCTGGGTGGAATCCAGGATGTGTCTGTATAACCACACAGTCAGGCTTACCACAAAATCTACCACTAGTCACCTCGTGACCCTGCTAAGGACGCTGGCTGTCTCTTAGGCCAAACCCCTCACTGAAAGGATTTCCAATCTCAGGAAGCAATCTCTGCCTGCGGTACTTCTTTACAGAGCTGGGTAACCGAAGTCTTGTCCTTTATATTCCTGGACCTCTACTTCAAGGGAAATGAAACGATCCTTTTCAGGAGGCTGCTTTTTAGGGGAGCGGACCGATGGGTTTCACAGACGGGCTTGCAGACAGCTATCTGGCGGGTTCATCGGCTGGCAGACCCAGGAAACAGGCCAGGGGAACTACCCAGCCCCTCCCGAGTTTCCTTTTTCCCGCTGGACTGTACCAGTGATATGCCCCCGGTGCTGCAAACACACACAAACATTTAGAACTGTTCCTGGAACCACATTCTTTCTTGCAACAAGTGGCAGAGCTACGGCACCTGACAAGGCTCAAACTTTGAGGCGTTATTCAGGTTTGCACTACACTCTCGTTTTATGAAAACAAAAAAACAAAAACCAAAAATGCTGGGTGCAACCAATCTGAGTAACAGCAGAAAACAAAAAGGCAGAAAAGATTGAATTTTCACACCTTCCACTGTCACAGATGACTCCCATCTCCTTCAATTTTTCCTCAAACCTTTTTAATTGTTTAGAAATGCTGGCATGCTGTAGGGCAGTCAAGGCCCTACTCTGGTCCAGGGCAAGCAAGCAGACAGGGAGAGCTCCAAACGACTTCAGGCCAAGGAATGGGCAAATACCGGAGATGCCGTTAAAGAGATTTACAACGATTAAAAAAAAAAAAATCCCGCCCACAGTTCTAATATGGTCCCCAGGGGTTGTACTTAGCCTTCCAACCGCAAGCCTGAGAATTAGAACTCAGGGGGAAAAATAATAACTAAATACCCAGGTCCAAATTAAACCCACCACCAGCAGCAGTCACACGCTGAGCCTGGGCGCCCCACCTCTGCCGGGCAAGCACAGCTCCTAAGCCCCGGGTATCTGAAGGCTATAAAAAACTCCTTCAGGGGCACTTGCTTCCCACAACTCTGAGCTGCCTGCAAGTTTAAGAAAGACAAGGGCATCTAGAGGCCTTAATGCCCCAACTGGAAAGCATTAAGCTAACACCCTGATTAGAGATTAACCACTTCCCCCCCAAACCTGCAGGGTGTTTGAAACGCTTCCCCGGCTTTCTCACCTCGGCGCTGTAAAAATTAGTCATACTGTAAGCTCTATTTTAGAGCCTGTGTACCCCGCATGCATAGCACGGCTCCCAGCACCCGCACCTGTTTGCCGGTGGCAAAGTCAGGTGCATTCAATTCTTGTCCTCATCTGACCATCACATAGAATCCAGACTACTACCTCCCGTTGGAGGAACTCGCTGGGACGCGGAGCGAGGCAGGAAGAAGGTGGGGCGAGCGTCTCCCCAGCTGCCCAGGGCCCTGGAGGGGAGCCCGGGCTGTCCCCTCCGCCCCGCCCCACTCCCCTCCCCCCCAGGTCCTCACCTCGAGCTTGTCCGTCAGCTCCTTGTGCATCTGCTCGTACTGCCGGCTCATGTCCTGGTTCCTCTCGAGCAGTGCCTTGCCCAGCCGGGCCGCCAACACCAGATCCTTCTCCTTCTGCCGGATCACCGAGAGCAGCTCGGGGTCCTGGGGGCAAGGTGGCTGCGGTGCGGTCCCTTCCTCGGCCGGAGGCTCGGGCTCGGCCTGAGGATTCTCCCCGGCCGCGAGCAGCGCCAGCTCCTCCTCTAGCGCCAGTTCCAGATCCCCGGGACCCCCGGGGAAGGAGACGAGGGCGGCGGTGGTGGCGGTGGTGGCGGCGGCGGTGCAGGCGGCGGGGCTCCGGGCTGCGTCGCCGGCCGCGCCGGGCAGCTCCATGCAGCAGGCGCTGTCCGGCTCGGCGGGTGCTGAAGCGGGGCCGGCCAAGCCCAGGCAGAAGGCGGACATGGCCCGCGCGCACCCGGGCGCGCGTGGGGCTGGATGTGTGTGCGTGCGTGCGGGGAGAGAGCCCGCAGCGGTGCGGTGCGGTGCGGTGCAGTACGGTCCGGGCCGGCGCGCGCCAGGCTGCAGCGGGGAGGGGCCCCCCGCCGCGCCGCCCCCCGGGGGTCCCCGAGAAACCCTGGGCGCGGCGCGCACCGGCCCGCTCCTCCCCCGCACCGGCCGCACGCGCCCCTGGCCCCGGGGGGCTCAGCTGTTGCTAATCCCGCTCGCGCGCCTAGGGGAGGTGGTGGGCTGCGAGGGGCGGAGAGGGGGAGAGAGGCAAGCTTGAGGGTGGGTGGAGGGATGCGAAGCCTGGGAGAGGAGGTAGCGAGGAGGAGGGCACCCCCCCACCTCAAAAATATAAAATAAAAAAATAAAATAAAATAAAAGCCGCCGCCGGGGTTTTCTCAGCCGCCCTGTTGCTGCTGCTGCTGCTGCCGCCGCCGGCCCGGCAGCGCCTCACGGGGCGGGCTGCGCTCCGCTGTGGCCTCGACGCTCGCTGCTGCTGCTGCTGCTGCCGGCGGCCGCCCTCGGCAGCCGCGCTCCATGTCCCTCAGCTCGGCGGCGGCAGCAGCGGCAACGGCAACGGCGACGACGGCGGCTGCTGCTGCTGCTGTAGGGGCCGAGGCGGCGGCTCCACATCGCGCGCCGCCCCCCCCCAAAAAAAAAAAAAGAAAAAAAGCCCGGCCGGCTCCCTTCCTGCCGTTCCCCCAACCCGCCCTCCACCCACACAAATAAATAATAATAAATCAATCAATAAACGCTCGTCTCTCGCTCCCCAGGCCGGCGCGGCCCGCCCGCACCCCACCCCGCCGCACCCCAAGCCCGAGCCGAGCCGGGCGAGCCGGGCGAGCCGGGCGAGCCGGGCTTCCGGCCGCGCCTCCTCTCCCCGCCCCTCGCCGGCGCCTGACGCGCGCGGGCACCTGTTCGCCGCGCCCGCGCGGGATTCGCCGGCTCCACAGTCTCCTCAGCGGCACCCAGGTGGCGCCGGCGGCTTTAACCCCTGCGCTGCCTCACGCCGGAGGGTGGGGGGAAAATACGAGAAAGAGAAGGTGTCGGGGGGCGGGGTGTGCGTGTGTGTGTGTGGGAGGGGGAAGCTCCCCGGGGCGGCTGCGCGCGCACACACCTGAGGAGCCGGCGGCCGCATCCTGTTCACCACCTCGCCGCCTCGCGGGGCGCAGCCACGCCCCCCCGGCCTAAAAACCGCCCACCTCACGACGGAGCTCCGCCCCTCACGCGCGCACCTACGGGGCGTGGCCACGCCCGCAGCCTCGTTCTCGCCCCGGGAACGAGGGGGTCGCCCTCCGCCCCACTGCTCCCTGAGGTCGCGGTCTCTCGTATGGCTCCGGGTCAGGGTGTCCGTCGCTCAGCCTGGCCGACAACCTGCCCGGTGGTCGCTCTCTGTGTCCCAAGGGCACAGGAGGACATTTCCTCTCTTAAGAGAGGTGGCCTCGCCCCCCGCCAGAAAACAGTCCGGATTACGGCATTTCGGAGTGAGGGCCCACAGGGGCGAAGCCGTCAGGAGAGGGCGCTCTAGCGAGGCAGGAAGGAGGTAGGATGACTCAGGGATATGAAGGACCCGGCTCCGTGAGCAGAAATCCGGGAAGGGGCTGCATGACGCTGGAGCCAGGACACAAAGACTTTCCTTGATCATAACTGTAGTTTTTCTGGTTTCTTCGTGCATCCTTTCCCCGGCACTGCGTGTGCATGATCTTAAGTGATCATTTTTAAGATTTATTATTCTTCTTTATGTGAAAGGCAGTTACAGAGTGGGTGAGTGAGCGAGCGTGTGTGAGAACTTTCAGCTGCGAGTTCACTCCCCAAATGGCCACCACGTCTGGAGCCAAACCAAGCAGAAGTCAGGAGCTTCCTTTAGGCCTCCCGCGAGGGTGCAGGGCCTTGGCCCACTCTTTTCTGCTTTCCCAGGCCATTGGTAGGGAGCTGGACCGGAAGTGGAAAATAGCTGACACTTAAGCTGGCTCCCCCATGAGATGCCCAGTGTCAACAGGTGCACGATTAACTTGCTACGCCGATCTTAATCTGCACGGACACCCCATAGCGTCGTTGTTTCGACTTCACAGAGGAGGATGTTGAGATCTGAGGGGTGCCCTCTGTCTGCCCAGATCAGAGTGAGGGTTGCCCTTTGTAAGGTGGCAGGTCTTAAGGAAGATGATCAGTGATTAGGGTCCAAGATTGGTTGGCTTAGGGAAGGAGGAAGGCGTCCTGCGATGGTCACAGCGATCCAGGAGCCTCGTGGGTGACCTGCAGTCAGCTTGGGAGTGGCCTCCCTGTGCTGCCTTGTGGAGGGTGCGTCCAAGAGCCAGAATCGAGCCTTCTCTTCTTTCCTTCTTGACTCATTTCAGCATGACCTTGCACTTTGATTCTTTTCATCCATTCAGATCTGTGACCCCACCCTGGAAGGGGTCAAACCATCTCTACCGGTTCTTATTTTTCTGAAAGGCAAAGTCTAAAAGAGGTATTTACTTCTCCATTCACTGTACTGACACTCTAATCGAAACATATAAAGAAAATCTAGTCTCAGACATGTATTGATCATATTTGAATAGTATTTTCAGATTTATATATATGTGAGTATCTTCTATGATATTAAACCTAAACTTGACAAATGATAGTTTTGTGAAAGTTGGTTGCAATATGGGATCTAAAAACCATACCCAGGAGCAAGTGTGGTGGCACGTCAGGTTAAGCTGCTGCATGGGTCGCTTTCATCTCATATCAGAATACTCTTTCAATGTCTAACTACTCCACCTCTGATCCACCTTCCTGCCATACATCCTTGGAGAGAACAGTCAATGGCCCCAGTGTTTGGGCCCCTTCTAACCGTGTAGGAACTCAAGTGAATTCTTGACTTCTGACTGAAGCCTGGCCCAGACTTGGTTGAAGCAGAAATTTGGGGAAGGAATCAGTGGCTGGATGGTTCTTACTCTCTCTCTTTCTCTGTCTTTAAAGTAGATGACAATAAATAAATATTTTAGGGGGAAAAAAAAAGAGAAAATCCATTTCTTTATCTTCCAATGTTAATGCATTTTTAAATTGTTACTATTATTTTCCATGATACAGTTTTATAGGTATGGGGATTCCTCCCTCCCCCTCCCATTTCTCCCTCTTATTTTCTTCTATCATCCCCCCCCCCATATTATCACAGTAGCATAGCCTTTAGTAACTGTTACAAGCCTAACATTCTGATACTTAAGTGTATCATGGTATTGTACAGGTACAGGCAATGCTAGAAAAATCTAACATGAGGGCCCAGCGCAGTAGATTAGCAGCTAAAGTCCTCACCTTGCACGCACTAGGATCCCATATGGTACCGGTTCTAATCCCAGCGGCCCTGCTTCCCATCCAGCTCCTTGCTTGTGGCCTGGGAAAGCAGTCAAAGACGGCCTAAAGCCTTGGGACCTTCTACCCACATGGGAGACCCGTGTGGGTGACCTGCTTGGTAGAACTGCCTAGGAAGAGGCTCCTGACTCCTGGTTCCTGGCTTTGAATCAGTGCCCCATTGTGGCCACTTGGGGAGTAAACCACCTGATGGAAGATCTTTCTGTGTCTCCGTCTCTCTGTAAATCTGACTTTCCAATAAAAATAAATAAATATTAGAAAACTTAATGTGAATTTTTCAAGGCATATTTAACATGCATACATACATTTGTTTATTATTTATTTTACTTGAAAGAGTTACACAGAGAGAGATCCATCTGCTGGGTCATTCTCTAGAAAGTACAATGGGCAGACCTGGGCCAGTCTGAAGCCGGGAGCCAGGAGCTTCTTCCAGGTCTCCTGCATGGGTGCAGGAGCCAAAGCCTTGGGCCATCCTCCGTTGGTTTCCCAGGCCAACAGGGAGCTGGGTCAGAAATGGAGCAGATGGGACTTGAACTGGCGCTCAAATGGGATGCTGACATTGCATGCAGAGGATTAGCCTGATATGCTACCATGCCAGTTCCTAAATGGTTCTTTTACCCAATATATGATTGATTCTATAATGGCCTGCCCTGGGCACTGAGTTATGCACATTTGTCTGAATTTTCTGCACTATGAAAAAAAATCACATTTATTTTTGTCACTATGGATCTCATACTAAATGTCTTTAAAGCATGAGGGGGGAGGCTGTTACATTCACTGAGATAGACAGGAGTTTTCCAAAGTTCTTATTTTCTTCAGAAAACTCAAATGTTAGTCATCGGTAACAAATGGTGATCACCACGTGCCTTGAAGTGACGGTTTCCCTGGTTCATTCCTGAGAAAATAACTGGCCAGTACATCCTAAAGGCCATAGTGTGTCGGTCATTTGTTCCAGTAAAAACGGTATTCTGTGAAAAACATGGCTGCTTCCCTCCCAACTCAGACGGCAGTACAGGTACCTCCCCTCCAGGCCCTGATGTGTTTCAGTACGCAGAAGTGCTTTGCGAATCCTTTCTATTTCATCATGTGGAATATTGCAATGGTGTCTGCTCGGAGGTATGCAATTTATAATCACTGCCTCATCAGGAAACTTCTTTACTGAAAATACCCTTCTCCCTCTATGAACACGTGAGAGGGAAGAACCACGTGTCCACCAGCATGTCTGGATACCGCTGCTTTGATTCATGCTAAGAGAGGAGTACTGTCACCTGCCATTGTTTGGCACCATCATTGAGAACATCAAAAGTGTCAAAAGACAAAAATTGGAGTGGGTACTGGGTGCAATGGTTAAGTCTCCATATGGGTCTCCTGTATCCTGGTTTGGATTCTGGATTTTCTCCTTGTCATCCAGCTTCCCGCTGAGGTTGACCATGGGAGGCGGGGAGTGATGGCTCAAGTTCTTGGGTCCCTGCCAGCCACGTTGGAGACCTCACCTGAGTTCTGGGCTCCAGACTTTGGTGCGGTCCAGTCCTGGCTGTTGTGAATATTTGGGCAGTGACCCAGAAGATGAAAGATGGAAGGTCTTTCCTCCTTTCAAAGAGAATGAAAATAAAATTTCAAACAGATATTATGAGGTAAATGGATCATGACAAAATATTTTTATCATTATTAATAAAATCAGAATGACTGTGATCACAACCATGA